TTCACCAGCTACATTCCTCAGATTTGTCTATGAATAAGTAGGATGTTCCCCATAGCTGTGTTCCTCGGCTGCGATGGCTTTGTGCCCCATGTGAGACCTGGGATCTCACTGCTGTTCTGCTCTCAAGGGAGCCCTTTGCTCATGTCAAGAAGTGGCTAAAGAAAACTCCTTAACTTGGTTAAAGAGAGAGAAAAGGCCTACAAAGCAATAAAGAAGGAAGAAAAACATTAGAAAACAAACTTTCCCTCCAGTGATATAAGAAGAAGCAAGAGGAAAACTGTCAGCAGAGGTCCTGTTCAAAAAAATACTTGGTAAGGGGATCACGTTTGGCTAAATACACAGGCACGAGGGGCCAAGGAAGAAAATAGGAATGGATGGCTGAATGATTCAAGCCAAAGACAAAATTAGGAACCTCTGAGTAAAGCCAAGGCAGGTGAGGATCTAAGAAGCAAAGGAAAAGAGTCCAGAGGTAAGGCATTAAGAGTTGGCAGAGAACACAAGTGGACTGAACAAATATATTTATGGTTGTTAAGAAAAACAAGGCTCACATGAGAACTTAACTCAAAGAACATTCAAAAGTAAATTAACACTATGGAAAATGGCATGATTAGGAAAAAAATAAATTAAAAAAATTAGTGTAAGTCTGCTTGGTACAGCTCTGCTCTCCCAGATCTTCAGAGCCCACAGTTCTTCAGCAACATGTTCTGCTCCTGTCTACAAGTATCTGCAGAACTCACTGCTTTGGGAAGGTAACATCCTACCACCACTTCCAGTTGTTAAACTCATTGAAATTGCAGAGGACAACGTTATGTATTTAAATTTCTAGCTCTGACGAAGACAGATGTTGTCAAGATTTCATCATATTGTCAAGAGCCGTGCGTTTAGTTTACTGTGGTAAACCATTGGAGAATTATACACAGGAAACTACAGTAAAAGAGCTACATTTCAATCTGGCCTTCCTCTGATCAGCTTCTAAACTGTCGGAATCTGTGCAGATGTCAACTGGATACATCGAGTTTTTATTAAGACTCTTTTAAATGTAGTCTACTAGGTATAATGCACATAAAGCAAATTCACATACTTTATTACTGCAGCAGTAAACAAAACTCTACACCATCTTTTTTGTAGCATCTCCTTTTACCTCGTATATATGACTTGGGTGGGGTAGCACTACTGTAACTAAAGTGCTCCAATACTGATGTATCTCGGGAAAAACAAAGTAATACCTGTAAAAGAGACAGCATATAAAACCAGTTCATTTACTGGATCAACAAAGCAATGCCATAGAGATTTAAGGACGTGCCTTAATTGCACCTGTTAGATGCTACTGAAGACAGCTAATAAGGTTGAAAGCTTTTGGCCAATTTAATTTACTGCTCAAATTTTTTCCTGTTCAAATTTCCCAGCTTGCTTTGAACTTGCTATGATTTTATCACGTTGGTTTGTTTTCTGAAAAATATCCATGTTCTCCAATCCTCCTCTTTGCCTGCCTTGATCTCTGTTGGTTGATTTTTCTATTCAGTTACCTGGGGAAGTCCTAGTAACTGTATATATAAGCAAACAAAACATCTACACTTTTGCATGTGTGCAGTGCCAGACGAGTGATTCTTACATTTGCTTTCCCTCCCAGAAGCTTTACAGAATGCTTGCATGATATTCAGTTCTTTCAAAAAGCAGAAATTATAATGTTTACCTTGTATGTGTACATTCTGAAACGCATGCTGTATTTTGTAAAACATACTTCTTATTGTTTATGTAAATGAAAAATCCAGTATTCAGAGCAATTGAGTATAATATTAAAATAGTAAATGCATGCAAAAAAAACCCAATAAAGAATCTTATCCTGTATGCAGTAGTAAAAATGTAGTAATTAGTACCATCCTTCAAAATTTTCATGGTTTAATGGAATGTACGACTGCACTATCAAGAATGGACACAAGAGGGCAGAAATACGACAGACTCCAACTTGCTGCTGGCTCTTTTCACCTACCTTAAATCCTCAGCTCTTACAGGTTTTAAGAGTTTGTTTGTTTGTTTTAACTGTAGCCAAGGCATAAAAGGTGGAAATGTTTTAGGTGGTGGTTCACTACATAACTTATTGTTAATAAAAATTACTGTGTTTTTCTTTCAACTAATACTGCAAACAACTTCCAGATACCAGCATTTGTCAAAAGGAAACATGCAAAACCACAGCACTTTGACATCTGATCATTGCTTTTTACATTTTTTTATGGAAAGCAAGTCATATTTTGAGACTTTTTCATCTTTTGAACCTCAAAACTATTTCTTGGATACAGGCATCTTCCAAAAAATAAATGGTTTCTTGTATCTCAAACAGTTTAACCTAAATATTATTTTTGCACGACAGGCAACCATTTTCATAGCTGCCAAAATACAGCTGACAATAACAATACACAGGCAAATGTAATTCTCTGTGTACGTTAAGTGAGGTGAAAGAAGAAGAAACTAATCTAAAAAGGACATAAATTATGTTCTCTCATAGGGGAAAGAACCTAAGTTTAATTTGAGATCCCTTTTTTAGGAATACAGTGTCCAGTACCCGTATCTGGAAGTCTTTAAATTAATACCATGCATCTTTATAAGAGACAGACTGTACCTCAAACCTAAGTTATGACTATATCTAAAAACTGCTGGGTGAAGTTCTTTGCAGGGTATAAGATTAAAGTACTCATATTGAACCACTCACCTGAAATAATGAATTTACAAATTTATTAATTCATGTATTGTTTTTCTCATTCAGGAAAATGGTAATGCTAAAGAAAATGACACAACCCCCTTTTTAAGTATGTAAACATTTTGCAAACCATTGGATGTTTATAATCAAAACTGAATAGAAAACCTCTAAATTCAAAGGCCTGAGAAAAAGAAAGAAAAAAACCCAAAGTCAAAGCTTTTGTAAAAAATAAATTACTATTTTAAAAGCAACTGTACTCTATTTCAATAAAGAAGTAATAAAGACACCTAAGCTTTAGGGTGAAGAAAACAAATATGTTAAAGGAAATGTCCTACATCATTTCACAGTGCTCGTCCTGAAAAGGAATGTGTGCTACGAAAAGTGGTACCAATGATCCAACCAAATATCCTCATTGTTATCTTATGCCCAAATTTTCTGGGTTTGATAGATGCTTTATCTGTTTAAGTAATACACAGAAAAATGCCACACTCTGCTCAGTGATTTGGAAAACTGTGGGTTTTTTTCATGACTAGTTACTGCCTCTAACTCAGTCCAAACATACAAATAATTTATCTAACATTTTCGTTACCTAGTTTATTTAGCCAATATTTAAATCCAGTTACCATATAAAATCAATAAATAGTATTCCCTATCAGAGTGACTCATAATGCAGAACTTTCCAGGGGCCACAGAACAAATTTATTTGGCAGCAACACATTTGCAAAGCAGATTGGAAGAGAAAATTATCGATGAACTGGGTAATTTTCTTCTAGAAGTCTGTACAATGCCACGAAGTACCAAACACAGGTAGCGCAACTAGTATTTAGAAGTTTGAGATATTCTTTGACTTGCAGTAAAACTAGCCACTTATTTTTTCCCTTGGTGACTCTCTTTCAGATTACTAAGGACAGTTTAGTCTTTTTCATGATTTGCACTCTGTAGCCATTCTTTTAGTTAACAGAGATATATAAAAATTAAAACATTGAACTGTGCCATATATTGAGAATGATGAACAAAATCTATTTCTGATGGTCTTGAAACAAAAGATTATACTGCATACTAGTTCATACTCCGCCATAGATTACCATCTTGTGTTCACTGGAACTGCCAGTTAATCACTAATTAATATTCCTTACTAGTCTATATATTGAATGAAGCAGAAATGAGATTTTCACATGCCATGATGAAGAGATAATGTTACAATACTGAAGATCATCTTTCACCCTTCAATCAAATAAAACTTCTACACCTAAATATTTTAGTGAATAAATATAAATGTTTGAGTTGTCACAATGTAGTCATTTTTCAAACTGTAATTCAGAAATACAACAGGTACAGATATTAACACTGTTACTATTTTTGAATAAAAAGGGCTACAATTTCATGAGGTTATCATTTTAAGTGTTAACATTTAAACGCCTGTTATGCTGAAGTATTATATGTAGACATGATTGAACAGTATGCTTCAACAGTAATGCATAGTTCTCTATCTATATAGACTAAGCAGCCCTAAGGACAGTTCCTTGGACAGTTAAATTGCTAGCAGTTTTACATACTGCCAATAAAGAAGAAATAATTTAGTTTCACATAGCTCTAAAACAAAAAAATTACACACGTCTAACCTGACAGATGTGACTAACGGAATTGAAAGCCCTGTGAAAAATGCTAAGTTTGCTGCATGACATTTATGTTGACATTGCAATCAACTACACATTCGGAAATTCATAAATGTAATCTCCTTCTGCTTAAGGGCATCTGACAGGCAGCAACAAAGATAATTCTTTATAAATTAGCTGGGTTCCCCACTGCTAGATGCAGCTTTGGAATGGGAACAATCCCATAAGTAACCATACATATCTCTACCTTACTCAGAATCAATGTCTTCCATTTAAATATATGTCAACACAATAATCTTATATACTTATTGTAGTAGGTCACTGTAAAGTTGCATTTTTTTTTTTTAAATTTGAAGCCTACATACACTTCTTAAGCCTTAATTTGTCTGTATGCCAGAGCTGTGAATAATTTCTTTATTGTAAAGGTGGAAAGGGGAAGAATATGGCTGACTTTGTATATTCTGACTTATTGCACTGGAAAGATGTGGTGTAGGGTCTTTCAGAGTAGGAGTTTTAGAAACCTGTCCTGCTCCATTTGCTTAAATGTACAAGATTGTTACTCAGAAGGGAGAGTATACTCCCACAGGAGTATACTTTCTACCTTTCTAAGCAAAAAATAGTTACATACCTGATATAAATAATCCTCAAATACAAAATAGTAGTCATCATTGCTTGCTGTCAGCTTTACATCCTGCAATAAAAAAAATAAAATTGGAAGCCAAAATGTATCTTTTCAGACACCCGTAGATGCTAAACACAGTGATAGAAGAAACTCTTTCATCCTTCAATCATGAAAAAAGTTTTAGTTAAGCATATACTCTGTATTTTAAAATCAAAAGAATACTACGTTAACTTGATGATTGAAATATTCAGAATAGAAACTTGAAATGGATGAAGTCAGAGCGCTGTGCCTTCCTCCTTGCAAAACCACGTATTCCTTCAAATGAAGGTACCGTTTCTTTCCAACTTAATGGCTCAAGTCAAACAAATGTCTTGCACAAGAACCAGCACAGGCACAAGGAGAGAGTTTACAATAATAAATGCACACCTTAAAACCAAACAATCTAATATTTTATTTGTTAAAAAAAACCAAGATACTGGTGAGATGACTACATAAATCACTTAATCACTGTTAAGCGAATTACTCACTTTGTAAATCAGGCTGTCCACTAAAAGGTCATGCTGAATCACATTTGACTTTAGCTGTTCATAATACAAGATATCCTAGAATTGAAAAAATCATAATCAGTCTGAGACACGACTTAATTCATGTGTAAACTTACGAAGCTAACTTCCAACTATTTTTCAATTAAAACCCCCCATATAACAAGCATGTATTCAGCTAAAAAACCCACTGCATAATTTATGAAGCATTCTATCAGTTTATTCGAGTTTAAGCCCTAAGAAATGTGGCAGATATCCGAGACATTGCAAAATTTTGTCCTCTTTAGATAAAGAAATTTTAATAAATTTATTATTTTAATGAATTTCAACCTTTAATAAAACGAGAATGAAGGAACTAGTTCAAACCAAAAATCCGTATCTTCCAACCTTTGGGTCTCTCTACACCTCAAATATTTTCAATATGCTTTTTTCTTTGTTTCTATTTTCATGCACCTCTCCACCAACAGGTTGTGTCTTACCTTCTAGTATTAGTGAGCTGCTGCAAATATTGGATGTTAATATAACATATATTTCTAAATAGTTTAAATTTGTGAAAAGGCGAAATTATAAATATATAAAAATATCTTGTGAAGACTGCAAAGAACTCAGACTTTCTTTAAACTCCAATTACTTCCTGGTTGTCTAGACAACATACACAAGGGTGAAACAATGGTGAAGAACCAGAACAAACACTTCTCTGCTTTTGCTTATTCTGTGTCTTTCTTCTTAGAAAGAGACTGAAAAGGAAAAAACCAATGAAGTATTTCACTATCATCATGTAATTCCTAAATCTTTAAATAACTCTCTGCCATTATGCCTACAAATGCACAACAGTTTCAGACAGAATAACAGTTTCAGATGGATTTGGAATAATTCATAAACTGTATCAGCAGCCCCAAAGCTCTTTCTCACTTCACAAAACTATTTTGATTTCAGTGTGCCTCTATGGACACCATATAAATACAAATTCTAAGCTTTATTTAATATTTACTGCTGATTTCTTTGCAAAAAAAGGATTTAAAGAACAAATGGGAAGTAAGACAAAATTTTGAGAGAGAGAATTGGAAAGGAAAAAGGAAAAATGAAGAAAGGAACAGAAAGGAACAGAAAGGAACAGAAAGGAACAGAAAGGAACAGAAAGGAACAGAAAGGAACAGAAAGCAAAAAACAAAAAAAGCAAAAAAAGCAAAAGCAAACATACAAACAAAAAAGTAAAAAAGTAAAAAAAGCAAAAAAAAGCAAAAGCAAAAAAGAATAAAGCAAAACAGAAAAAAGCAAAAAAAGAATAAAAAAGAAAAAAAGAAAAAAAAGGCCAGGGAACACTGCAAGTGTTATTTGTACTAATCCACAACTGAGAAGTGAATGTTATATACCTAGAAACTATTAGAACTGATATATTAATAAGCTGAAATGAGGACAAAAGCTGTATTTATTAAGTACTGACAAAAACCACAGGGAAAATATTTACATTTTTCTTTCCCAGAAACAAAAAGGGGAGGTATAAATACTACAGTATTTCTTTATGAAGGATCAGACATAAATACTTACTAAATGTAAATTATTTGCAGTATGAACATAGCATTCTGTTCTTAAGAGTTACAGGGAACTATTCTTATATTCAAGACAAAATTTTAGAGCATCAGTAATGTAGTCTAAGTAAATTAATAATGTCTAAGGATGGAGTTTATTTTTTTGCAATCCCAAATGACTGTATATATTAGAAGAGAAGGAGTTAATAAAAAAATAAAATTCTTTTTTGTGCTAAGTAAAATGCATGATTAACTGTTTCTGTTGTGCATAAGAAATGGTACAATGGAACTCATGGCTACTACGGTACTAGATAATGTAACTAATCTGCTGTAACTTGAAAACAACCGCATGGTTTCCTGTTATTTCCTAGTTTTCAGTTCTCTAGACCCTGCTTGCACAATTGCTAAAGGCTCTTTGGAAGTGGGAGGTGAAAACTGTACGAAGGAAGAGTAATCTTTCGCTACCCACAGACAGAGCACACGTGAAACGTACGTGCAGAAACAAGTTTTTCTTCAAATACTTTCATGTGATGTCACATAGTGGCCTCAAGCTACAAGTTAACCTTACCACTAGCTCAGTGTTTCATGCTCACCTTTTCCTTCCTCAATTAGAAAGCCATTCAATTATGTTCCACATTTGCTTGCAAGAGTCCACAGATTTTCCTGTTATTACTGAAATTATTGTAAAACCACAACTAAGAAATAATCACTTAAGCACATGGTCCATTCATCTTAACAGTCAGATTAACTTGGTATTAAATTTAATTGCTGCTGATTTATTCACACTTAGAATAGACTTAGTGATTTGGTATGCAAGGAACGAGTTTACTGAATGTATGAAGAACAGATTTCCATACAAGAAAAACAATTTATAAATTATGCTCTACTGTACTGACATAATGAGTTTACAGTGCTAGTTTCAGTGCAGTTTTGTTTATAGCAGCATACTAAACTATGATTGCTATGGTATTAACGTCTTAAAATGTTTATCAGCTTCCAATGCCTTCATTTAACTACATTATTAATTGAAATGTAAAGAATCATGTTAATTGCAATTATGCATAAATTACAGTTTATGCCAAGAGCCAGTGAACAGTGTCCTCCACAGAAGAAAAATAGAAAACTGTTGGAAGAAAAACAGAAAACTATTGAAAGAAATTTAGGTTTAACAGACGATTTTCTATTTCTTAATCGAGAACATTCCCAGTCAGTCCCCATGTGTTGCCTAGTCTAGTCGAGAGGTGGCGTCCCTGCCCATGACAGGGAGGTTGGACTAGATGATCTCTAAGGTCCCTTCCAGCCTAGGCCATTCTATGATGATCTATGATGATGTGTATTTAAAACATTTCGTAACTTTTTTTTTGTTTTAGCAAAGCTGAAGTGTAGAAACTTTCCATTTCCCACCCTTCAGACTTGGGTACTGATTTTAGAAAACAATCTACTTACTAGAATATAGGGCAAGTACTGTCTGAGTTGGAACAGAGATTTGAATTCTTTAGCCTTAACCAATACGATGTCAGTTTCCGAAATATATACCCTTCTCAATTCTCCTCCTTAGTTTCCTCCTTCAGTTAGGTCAAATATTTCAAGCAATTAAAAAGGTGCTAAGAATAAACAACCTGATGTTTATGGCACTACCTTAAAAAAAGAGAACAACCAGGCTCCAGTTATTCAGCAACTCGCAGAAACTGAATGCAGCTCTTCATAATTCAGTTGAATACTTTCTTCAACGTGATTTTAAATTAAAAGGGTCAGAATTTTTATCTTCTTTCCAAAAATAAGAGTTTTGCCGTTGTTCTTACAAAAACTCACTAGGCTAGCTTGGTCACTACTCAGAAAAAAAATCAAATACCGTTCGCTATTGCTATTCTACTTTCAGCATGAACTAAAATTTCATACACAACTCAAAACTCTACCCTGAAAAAGATGAATAGCAAATTTACATTGCAAACATTATCAGAGTAAAACAATGCTTAAATATTTTAACAGTTCAATAATCTGGTAGAAAGACCAGAAGGACAAGTTGTCTACTTGAACGAGAACTCATGAGAAAAAGTTTAGGAAGTAAATGAGAAATTAGTAAAAAGGGACTTGCAACCCAAAACCAATCATAACCATTCTCTTAAATTGTGATTTTTGTGACGCAAAAGCGAAATCTGGGCTTGGGAATCATTCCAGTTTTTCAGCCACAACTTGACAAGAGGATCTTGTCCATGTGTCTCAGTAAGCAAGAAGGATCGTGATTCATGCTGTTATTAGTAAATTTACTCCTTATATCTGAAACATAAACAAGATCGGTCACAGATTTACTTTGAAGCCACATGACCCTTTCACTCAGTGATCAGTTTTTCTCACAGTGAGGAATGTTTCCACGAGCTTCACTCAGGCTTCAACAAAGACTCAAGTCTCATTTTACTATTTCATCAGCTGCATATATTCCTCCAGGTGAGACAACTGACTACCACCAAGTTTCAGGAGTGTCCAGAAAAGTGATACTGTCTTAGCCTAAAATGTTTTCAACTACAAAATCAGAATCTTACTATTTGCATCTGATCCAAACTTTCTTCTCTGCTGACAAATCTTAACACAACCTCGATTTGTAAACTGCGATGTCGCATTTTTATAGACTGCAGCTTTTCTCAAAATTATTTTTCTTTTTTATATATATCGCTCCTCCAAACGTACTCAACTTTCCAAGTTGGAACAAAGTACGTTTCAGCCCTCTTGACATTCCAAAGTCACATACCAAAATTTCCACCAAAAACCCCTCATACTGTACCCACTTGAGAGCGTAAGGAAAAGGGAGCCCTGAGAGTAGCTCACAGGTGGGAGGGAACAGCATCTTTCAGCAGTACCCAGCAAAGAATCGTGTGCTTCACCTGCTTTAAAACCAAGGTTGGGATTATGCAGCAGCTTCTGTGCAGGCACAGTCCCCCTGTGGCCTGTCATGAAATCCCTGGCACAGGAGCTGTGCTCTCTCTGCCGCACTGTCGGCAGCTCACGATTAATTTTCAGGTTGATTGCACTATCTCTGCTTGCCTCTCAAATGTAATACAAGAAATGGGCAAGTGAAGCACGGAACCAGAAATATGAAGAAAGACTGCCACCGGGGAGTCTAGAAAGAAGACCCTAAGATTCGTGGGAATTGGATGAAGCCTAAAGAACGGCATCCAGCATTCATTAATGAACTGTGGATTTTGGAACAGAAGTACCGGGAACAAGTAGAAAATAAAAACACTAATCAGAATACATAAAGAGAAAATGGACAAAAGAGTTAAAGAAACTCCCTCTTGGCAAATCCCTGAAGAGGATCCAAAGCTTATTCTCCTTTTTCCAGACACCTGTGAAATCTACCTGTAAAGTACATCCTTCTCCAGTCAAAGATGATGACAGTCCATTACTGCTACCGGCTTCTCTGCTGTTTGAATGGTACAGTGGGTACCTTAGGCCACTGATCCTAATCTAAAAAACCCTTCTGATAAGGCATAAAATAATGTAATGGTCCATTATGAACTCACCACCTCGCCTATTTATTAAGTTTTTAAACCTAGGAAATTACGTTCAGTAAAAGCTGTAGTAAAGCAAAGTATTATGAATTTCTGCATGCTGGAATTTTCAGAATTAAAATTTATTTTCAACCCACTAACTCAAAAAAAGAGAGGGGAAGAAAAAGCCTGTGAGATAATGAATGATTTTGTTTTCTAAGCACTGCCTGAATAGCATGCAGTGAATAAACAATAGGGTAACACACCAAATAGAAGGAAAGAGAAACCAATATTAAACAGATTCTCAGCAAGTGTGTGCCATCCATTCTGTGCAATCAATGAAGCAGACATCCCACAGGAAAAAACTGTGACTGTGCGATTTGAGATCATGATATAAGAAACAAGATACGGCACCTTGGACTGTTTGCACAGACAATATTAACTGTGACTCTGTTCAGCTTTTAAAATGTTTGACTTTGCATCTTTAAAAATGCTCTTTTAACATAGCTCCTCTAAAACTTATCATTACAAATGAAAACTAATAATTCATCACCAGGCACTGTGTCTACACATTTCTGAACAATCCTGAATATAGAGCTTACAGTTTATCGTTTTTACAATTACGATGATAGATTGCTAGTATCATCCTCGGCTTGGTTGTATATTGGCTTTAGGCAGAGGCTGAGCTTTAATGAATAAATTATTTTAAACAACAGTGTTGGATGCTAACACACACAACGCCACCCCTACCAAACCCTCATAATTAAAGAAGGGAAATTCATGGTTGTTATGAGCTATAGATTCATACAGCTATAAATGAAATGAGGGGGCTGGACTAGATGATCTTTTGAGGTCCCTTCCAACCCCTAACATTCTGTGATTCTGTGAAATGGGTCCTAAACTGCAAATCAGAAATATTACAGCAGGAAATCTCTGCAATCACACAATTTAACTCCAACAGAGAAACAGTACACAAAGGCAGAGAAAAGAAGCGTTAGGTAAATCAATAACGTCTATACGAAATAGAGCAGATCATAAACCAGCTACACGTATATGAAAACTGCTTTGCTATACTTTACAAAAACCTAAGCAGTGCATTCAGCATATGCAAGAAGAACATCTCACGGTGTTAGCATTCTGGCCACAGGTATAGCTTTACTTCTGTAAAACACTAGTAAACACAAAGCTTCAAATTAACTATGGACATTCAGCTTATAATATAGCTACAGTAACTCATGTGCTATCCTACCTGATCTATAGGCAGTCTGCTAGGACTCAGTCAGAAAGCCTATCCTTTCAGTGTATTTGAATTTTTAGTAATCGAAGTTCATAAATCAACTGTAACTTAGAGCCCAGGATAACAAACACTATACTATCATATGCAAAAATAATCTTGGAGAATAAAGATAAAAGGCTCTGACAGTTGTTACATTAGCAGATACAGTTCTGGTTTAGCATCACAGACAAACATTCATATGCACTTAAATTACCAGCTCAGATGATTTTCCCCAAAATAGTATATCTTGTCTACAGACTTGGTAATTCCTGTTCTTTGTGGGGAGGCAGGGTGGATTTTGTATTTTAATGTTTTCTAAGTGACAAATTTGCAGTCTGCATCACTTTGTCCATCTTTACTTACTACTTTTTCTTGATGCTATCGTTACCATGTGCCAGGCACTTAACCTCGTCGTTCTCAAGTTTTTTTAGCATCACCACAAAATATTGTCCCACCAGTGTACTTGGTTCAGTCTCAAGGCTCTGGATCCTGCATATTGTCCCCTGAAGGGGAACATCTACCACATTCAATCTCATGATATTATATGTGTATGTAATTTTCTTCTTCATGTATAGCTGACAAGTATAATTTTCTATGTGCACAGAAAGTTATCTCAAGGTAAAATACTATGTCAATGAGAATGTACCAGCTGCCCTGACTTAAGCGTCCACACGCATCCTTGCAAGAACTTGGGGCTGCGTTACCATTTATTACACACGAAAGGCACATACACGAGCACTTGTGATCAAATAGCTAATGCACTGTTCTCTAGCTTACTTAAGAGTAAATTGAGTTAATAACCTCACAAGAGACTAACCTTCTGAGAATGTCTAAAATATTCACACTCCACACATAGTATTAACACATAATAAAACCAACTGAAAATTAGAGTTAACTTTTAAAGGACCTAAGAGTGAGACTGACGATATTAATAGACAGAGCTTGTTCCTCTTAAAAAAAGGTAACTTGAAAAATGTCCACGTGGATGTCAGGAAATGAATTTTAATAAAACTATTTCCATAACATCTCATGCTTTAGATGAACATAAAATTAAATAATTTATTTTTTTTCTGTTTCTTATATTGATTTTTGGTAACCAAAGCAGAATGCTTGGCTTTTTTATTCAATTATTTTGTTTTCCTCATTAAGATAAAAATGCTCTTAGACCATGCAGCAGTTAACAGAATATAAACAGATGCAATGTAACCAACAACATTAATTTGGTACCTCTAATATACCTGCTCTCATAAAGAGAAAGACTTCTAAAATACACGCTGTCCTGATAATTTAAGTAACTTAAATCTAGTGTTACGCATCTCAGAGTAGGTTGTATAATATTTTGTTATTATTTCAGCTCTTCCTTCTACAGAAAATTAAAATCTTTTACCTACTAGAAACAAAAGTCTGTTTTATTTCTCAAAAAAAGGAATAAACTAAGTAATTCTAATGCCAGACCAAGTAACTTCAGCTCTTCAGATAAGCTATCAACGAACAAGATATACATTTGTTACCAATAAAAGCCCAAATACTACAGGAAAATTGCTACATCCTCAAAGGACGAGATACGTAAAATTCTCACATTTATGGGCAAATTTACATGTATACATGGTACTTTTTAATAAAACTTAGCAAAGATAAGAGAGGCTCAGTCTTCTCTCTTGCCCCCTTCTGAAAAAGTCAGCACCACACAGGTAAAAACTTCAGGAGCTAGCCAGATCAACTGAACAGAGTTTGTTCTATGGTATTTTGCTCATATACCTGTTAAAAAAACAGAGAAAAGCCTAAAAGACTTGAGCATAGCATGGAGTTTTTTTACAGGCATGTGTGTATTTCTCAGCAAATTTTTATCAGTTTCTGTGACAACTTAGTAGAGCATTTCTATTTTGGAAAAAGATCACTAGAAGCTATGTGCTTGCACTTTTGTGTTTTCACCTAGCCTTTCTATTTCACTCTGACTTCGTTCCTTACCTCTGGCTGATTAGAAATATTGAGAATGAGGGCCCACAGATCAGCTCGGAGTGCTGTTGGACACCCCTGACGTACATATTGTTGAGCTGCAGCACTATCTTGCTCGGCTAAAACTGTAAGAAACAAAGCAGGCAATGAATTGACATAGTTTAAGACTTCTGCATTTTATCAAATTTTTAACTTTATAAAATGGCTTACCATGCTGTAAGCATTAGCTAGTGGGGAAAATATGTAAAAGGTCTGGTTCCCACAATGCAGTTTTGAAGTAGCTCCTCAGGAAACAAGTTAACTGGTATTAGGAAGCGAGGCTGTACTGCCTTCTGTCATAAAATACCGCCTAGTATGCATCTATGACTATATTGAGGCGAGTTGCAGCTAGCAGGCTTGCATCAAGAGGAACAAACAGCCATATATATCCTCAAAATGCTCCTATTTAACTATGAGTGGTAACAGTTCAAATAGATTGAGATTGCCACTCATTCTGTTTTTCTGTGTCTCCTCCATTTTTGTCAACTGTACAAATATCTTCACAGATAACTGCGGGGCAAGAATTTTCAATTTCAGAGTGTACTGTCACACTCTCTCATTATTTGTATACATACTCTGGAGGATGAAGCCTTTTCGTTCTCAAAAGATCTCCTTTTTCCTTCAGACTGACATAAAACAAATATTCTACTGTTGACAGGTTTGCTTAGATGGGTCTTTGTTGTGAAGCTTCAGGGTACCCTGTCACAAGGGCCTCATCTTGAATACAGTGTTGTACATACCAGGGAGCAGATTAGCTCATACCTTACTTAAATCTATAAACTTGAAAGACACGCATCTTCACCCATCCTAATCCAGTAAAAGTGTTGTTTCCCCATCAAGGTTATGTGATTAACTGTACCCTCATACGTGAAATGTCTTTCACAACAGAGAGAGAGTCAGAGTAATATTTCTGCGAGATTGTCTAGACATTAGACAGAAGTTATACTGGTACTCAGAAGTTTCCAAATCCATATCCTCTGATGTTTCTGAAGTCTCTCAGAAACAACTTGCTTTACTAAATTTCACTAAATTTGATATTCCAATATCTGCCCTGACATGACTTAGAAGCATGAGATTTGGAATCATAAATCCATTTAATTGATTCCTCTCCCTTTCTCCCTCTTAAACACCGAATAAACCAGTCTGCCAATCTTCTGTTTAACCTGCAGAGCTCCAACACAGATGGTGTGTGATCCTTTTTTCCTAAACGTAGAGGCCAAAAAGAAAACACACGTTCCCCACAAAACTTTAAAAAAGACTGTAATTTATCTCAGTGTTCATGAGCATTCTGCTTATTTTTTCTTACTGAGACACAAAATATTAAAAAGTAGCCTTACTATAGAACAGATGGGTTTTACTGAATGCAATACAGAAAATTCCTTAGGCTTGGCAACACATTTAATAAAAAGGCAAAATCAATACATCAGCAGTAATCAAAGTTATAATCAACATCCAGTAGAGCATGCAGTAGGATTCCCACTGAAGGAACTGAGATTTCAGTTGGTGGTCCAGACTCTTAACTTATATTTTTACACAATTTTGTGGTTTTGCATATAGGAAAAGCTAAGACAATCTCTGTAATAGAGGCTGCTCTACACAGACAAGAGATAAGGAGTAAGAATTACATTGTGGAGTTGAATGACTGGCTCAGCAAGCCCAGAAGGGAAATTTATTTGGAAGAACAGACAGACAGACAGACAGGACCCCAAGGAGCTGCTCTTAGACCAGAAAACAGACATGGATGGATAGAAAGAGGATTGCAAAAGGAGAAGTACGAAAGGTCATTGTTCCATTACCGCAACAAAAAGAGGGATGGAGGACTTTGGGGATAGAATCCGTTCTGTTTTTTAATCTGACAGTGCTAATGTTCTGCAGGAATCACAAGAGACAGCAAGGAGCAGATACTGACAGATTTCAAAGACTCCTTGTATGTCCCTTCTGTAAGCAAACTTGAGCTAATAAATGATCATTTCTTCGATCTTTCCCTTTCTTTTGTAGGTTATTTCCCAACTTACAAAAAGCCCCATAATTTCTTCAGAAAAAAATATTATACAGAGACAAACAAGTGAATTTTCCATAGTGGCTAACTACTGCAATATTTAGCAAGTTCTGCAATTGCAAATAACCATTAAAAAGACTGTTCTGACGCACAGGCATAAATCCCATTACACTAATGAGAACTTTGTGTGCAGAGGAGGGAGTCCAGTCTTTTGATTGTAAAATTAAATTCAGCAGTGGCATAAGTTAAGATATCACCAAAAAGTTATGTCTCTATGCTTCCTATTTAATTTTTAATGAAATATCTGTGGAGCTATTTATCTGGTAGCTACTGGCAGACTGCAAATGCTCGCTTTGCCGTCTCTGTCTAAATTACAACGGTATTACTGACTGTCTCTGTCTAAATTACAATGGTATTACTGACAGTGCTTTGTGTTAGCCTGTCTAAATTCCTAAAATCCCAAGAAGCACACGTAACTGAGATAGAAATTTAGTAAATGCATTCCTAACTACTCACAGCTTATTACAGATGAAAACAGATTCGTACCTTTCTGTCCAACACGTACATGTTCGTTTTCAAAGAACTCTAGAAAATAATGAAATAGAAAAGAATTGCAAAAAAATAAATGAAGAAGAAGATATTCCAGCTAATAATGTATCTCATATTTTTACTATGGATCATTATATTAATCTGATTTTTTTACTGCCAATGTCAGTAAAAAATAACATTTATCAGCATCAATGTTCTTAAAAAAATAAGGAATTATACTACACAATTTTTTCTTGTCTGAAGAACTCAAATACCAAAACAGCACTAAATGAACCTAGACTTTCAATTAGTTAATTCTCCATAAAAAATGAAAAATCACTTGATACTATAGTGGTTTTCATTTTTATATGGAAAGACCATTTCAAAACCTTTTTATACAGGAATAAACGCATACATGGGTAATAAAAAAATTTTGCACTACTTTAAGGATATTTTATGTAATCTTGTCTTAAAAGATAGGCATTTAAAAGATATCTGTACATATGCCTATCTGTTAGTTGGCTTAACATATTTTTTGGAGATGGGCAATTTGGTTGTCTAGATCCTGAAGTGTTCAAACACACTGGAAGTAACATATTTTCACCTTAAGGTGATGACTTTACATCTCCAAATCTGACCCTTCACATTTGCAATATGCAATTTCTATTACTAGTTTTATTTTACTAAGAAAATAATTATAATCGTTGTTAGACAACAAATATTTATGGTTTATTATCAGAAAAAACGCACAAATTGCTTGACAATTAAAGTAGATAAATAGGACACTCATTAGTGTTCTATTTAAATGACTGAAGCACAGCATTAGCTAACCAGGAGGCACTTGTGCTGAATCATCAATACCCAGCTGTCCTATATTCAAGTCTAGTTCACTGAAGTCTTCTTTCTGAAAAGAAACAAAACCATAAAACAGTAACTAACAATGTTGAATTCTCTAAATTGCTAGAGATTTCTTCTGAAAGGCTTAGTGTGAGTATTTTCTAAATCAAATGTAGTACTTTTAAATGCATACACATGATATATGAACTAAGGGTTTTAAAGAGAAGAATCTCACATCAATTCTTTACTCTACTTTTAGTTATAGGCCCCAGTTTTCATGTCAACTATGAGCTACACCTAGACATAAAGTGGTGGATGAAAGCCCAGGTTAAGGATCTCTATTTCCTAGGTCTTTTCCAAACTAAGTGGAAGTTTTTCTACTAGCATAGAATGCTCGAGATTTAGCAGTGAAGCATTAAGAAGAGCTCTCCAGTTTTCCAGTTATAATACTAGTAGCTAAGTATCTCCTTTTATTTATAATCTGAAAATCAAGGGATTTAAAATTACTCTGAGAAGAAAACCAGAAGCTATTGTCAGGTTACTGATCTTGTACAGCATCAAATAGAACTGCATAATTAAGATAAACTACATTTGTAAAGTTTCTTGTACAGAAAAAAGTGAACAACATGCACGGAGTATATTTTCGGCACAAATTAAAACTGTGTAAAACTCTCCTACCAGCATGCAACGTACTGTTTATTTTACACTATTTTTCAGTATTACTTTTCATTAAAAATGTTTTAATTGAACTTGGTTTTACTTTAACTATATATTTAGACTGACTTTCACTTTCAAAAGAAGAAACTTAATCATGATACTAATATTCTTTCTTAGTGTTGAGAATCTTATTCATTAGCAAGGCAAAAAAATTCTTACAGAAACCTCTTGTCAGAAAAATTATACTTACCAATTCTGGAATATCTTTAACTTTTAGAGGAACCTGAATTAGCCCCAGATGATTTCTGAAACTAGGCTGTTCTCCATTTTCATAATTTGGGTTTCGAAGATTCATCAGTACCTAAAACATGGTAGCTCTGTTATTCCTTGTATATATTCAGAAATTCACATGCAGAACTCTTCCTGACATCGTCAATATTACAGACGAGTCACTGAACAAGGATAAAACGAAGACGAACTTGTTTGGATTGGGTGGATTGGCTGTTAATACAGTGATCAGAATAAAATAAAAATTTTCAATATCAGTAGCACTAACTGAAAAAGATGAGCTCTTTAGAAACGTTATAAAACTGATGGAAAGTTTATTGTTGGACTCAGAATGAACTCATAATTCATAGCCATGAAATAATTTATACTTAAGTCAGAAATACTATAAATCTTCTCTACCACTCCAGAAGACATTGCACCAGACTTGCACTGAATCACATCAAAGTATTAATACATTAATTCTGACTGATAATTCAGTATTACAATTCTAAGTTCTGGTCTATAAAATAGCAGGCCATCTTAACTCTCTGATTTTACACTGTCATCATGTCCTCGATAATTATTTTTCCTGTATAATAGGTTACAAAGAAACTGATTTTTACAACTTTATTTTCAATCATATTTTAATACAAAATCTCCTACTGCTTCATCATTAAGTTCACTGTCATCGACAGTGTTCACCGTTCATTGTCCCTGTCTATCCCAGGCACAGACAGTAAAGTAAGTTCTGTTTTACTAAGATGGTCTGTGCTTGAACCACACAAAATGATGAGTAATACTGTAATTTCTGACTTCAAAGATTCAGTCATCATTTTTTTTAACAGTTTAGTTTAATTACAGACAAAAGGCTGCAAATTCCATACACCTTCTGTTTCATGTTTGATTTTTCACAGTCTTCACAGATGACCTATAATTTCAACTGCTGACAAGTCTATTATTGACCACCAAACAGTCCATCAGGCTCACATATTCCAATTTATCAGCTTAACATATTGCAGTTTAAAATGTAAAATGATTTATTAAATCGGTTGCAGAATTGCTTTCAGAGGAAAAAGTTAGCTCCAAACTATTCTTTAGAGAAAGAGTTTATCACAAGTGCAGTTAAAACTAGAGTTAAAAAAAAGAGACAATAGCATTTTGTTTTGTAAACAAAACACAGAGTCATAACAAACATGCCAAATTTCACTTGCTATAAGGGACTAATTGTTTGAAATACACTTAATCTTTTTTCCCCACTTCATTTAAAAGACTATAATGGATGCAAGTCAATGGCTGAGTCATTGTTTCATAAATGCTTACCTCAAGAAAATCTTTAGGTGCATAAACAGGGCGGAAGAGACTCAGATCTGAAAGAAGATTTCAATAATACAATGTTAAAACCAAGAGATGAAAAAAACAACAACCCTGCCATTTTCCCATATCCGTAACACAATAGAGCAATTCAAAAACATTATAACAAAGATTAAAACAGCATTATCACAGATATCATGGGTACAACCATATACATTCTCCAAGACTATTCTACTATTAGTGCCTTAGTTTTGCAAACTCCGATTAAGCGAACAATAGTGACATGAAGTTTTATTTATTCCATTTATACTGAACCATTCTTAGACATGGGAGAGATGATATTAAAAAGAGGGTGGTTTGTTGTTTTTGGTTTTTTTTACAGCATAGATTGTTCAATTAAACACTTATCTGCCAAATAAGAAATAAGGACTAGTCAGTAAGAATCCATCAAAAGTATTTGCCATTTCAGAGGCGGTACTGCAATATAAACTAGCACTTTCAAAAAAGTCATTTATTCTAAGGAACTTGGATATGAATCATAGAATCATTGGTTGGAAGAGGCCTTCCAGAACATCGAGTCCAACCTTTCTACTAGCCCTATCAAAATCACTACACCATATCCCTCAGCACAACATCTACCTGTCTCTTAAACACCTCCAGGGATGGTGACTCAACCACCTCCCTGGGCAGCCTGTTCCAATGGCTGACAACCCTCTCAGTAAAGAAATTCTTCCTAATATCCAACCTGAACCTCCTCTGGCACAACTTAAGGCCATTTCCCCTTGTCCTATCACTTACCACTAGGGAGAACAGACTAACCCCCGTCTCGCTACAACCTGGCAGCTCTCCAGCCACTCCTCCCCAAGCCTGTAGCACTGCTGGGAGTTGCTGTGGCTGGAGTGCCGGACCCAGCATTTGGCCTTATTGAAACTCATGGAATTGGCCTTGGCCCAGCAATCCAGCCTGTCTAGATCCCTCTGTAGAGCCTCCCTACCCTCAAGGAGATCGACACTCCCACCCAGCTTGGTGTCATCTGCAAACTTTACTAAGGGTGCACTCTATCTCCTTATCCAGATCATTGCCAAAAGTATTAAACAGGACTGGACCCAGTACTGTGCCCTTGAGGACACTACTCGTTACCAGCCACAAACTGGATTTAACTCTGTTGACCACAACTCTGGACTCAGCCATCCAACCAGTTTTTTCCCCAGTAAAGCGTAGGCCCATCCAAGCCAAGAGCAGTCAGTTTCTCTAGGAGAATGCTGTGGGCAAGTGTCAAATGCCTTACCAAAGTCAAGGTAGACAACATCCACAGCCTTTCCTTCATCCAACAAACAGGTCACCCTGCCACAGAAGGAGATCAAGTTTGTTAAACAGGACCCATCCTTCATGCTGACTGGGCCTCATGACCTGGTTGCCCTGCATGTGCTGCATAATGGAACTCAGGATGATCTGCTCCATCAGCTTCCCTGGCACTGAAGTCAAACTGACAGGCCTGTTAATTTCCCAGATCATCTCTCCGTCCCTTCTTATAGACAAGTGTTACATTGGCTGAATTCCAATCAGCTGGGACATCCCCAATCTGCCAGGACTGCTGAGAAATGATGGACAGTGGCTTGGTGAGCACCCCTGCCAGTTCTCTCAGCACTCTAGGATGAATCCTATTTGGCCCTATAGACTTGTGCACATCGATGTGGAGCAGCAGGTCACTGACCATCTGCCCCTGGATTGTGCGGGGGACATTTTGCTTCTGGCCCCTGTCTCTTGGCTTGGGGGGCTGGCTCCCCTCAGTTAAGTGCTTCTATTACTAAAGACTGAGGCAAAGACTGCATTAAGTACCTCAGCCTTTTCCTTGTCTTTGGTTACTGTATTTCCTCCTGGGTCTAGCAGGCGATGCAGGCTCTCCCTAGTCTTTCTTTTATTGTTAATGTATTTATAAAATCTTTTCTTGCTGTCCTTTACCTCCAAAGCTAGATTAATTTCTAGCTGGGCTTTGGACTTTCTAATTATCTCCCCACATAACCTAACAATATTCTTGTACTCAATCACAGAATCACAGAACATGAACTAACAAGGCAGTTAGCCTTGCTCTCCCAAAGGATGATGTGACTAACTATTCCATGCAGGCATTATTTTTTTTCTGTCAATAAAGCCTCTGAGCTTAATTATCCACGCTTCTGAACATTTTCTTTCTATCAGCCTGAGCTTACACTAAGAGGAGCTGTGCCGAAGCCATATAAATTTCTAAATCACTGGAATGAGGAGTATCATATCATAACCTCTCAGTGAAGGTTCAAAGATAGTAAAATAACTTGAAAAATAACAAGGAATTGAATATTTATGTATGCATAACGACATATTACTAATCAGAAAAAAAGACTGCAATCAGTTTACCTTGAAATGATTTATCAGTCAAAGATAATATAAAGATGCATATGTTATTCTACTACGTAAAAAATACGAATGCACATAAATTTAGTTGACCTTACCTGGCTCATCAGTTCCCATTTCATTCCATTTACTAAGCAGTTCTTTCTGTTCATTCACAGGCCTCTGAAAGGCACAAGAAAGTAACTTTTTTTTTAACAGAATGAGTAAAAATATGCCTATTTCAACCACATAAATGAATGTAACACTTTAAAAAAATAGATTGCACCTCCAACACAAACTCATTTTGCTTACAAATTATCCACACCCTGAAGGTAAAGGAAAAAAGTTCAAGGAAAAAGGAGCCCACTAAATATTTTAACAAGTTTACTAATGAATTTAGGCCATTTCGATTTACTGCTCATTCCATAGAACTGTTGGGACTTTTTTCATCCAATTCCTGTCCCTGGCACAGTCACGAAAAGCAAACACAGCTGCATCCTTTATCTCATGATGAACCACAGAGGTTCTGTTACCTATCCCAGATATACAACAGGGGAAAGATAAAACAAAACATCATAACGTTATTCTCCAATTCTGCGATCTTGAAAATTAATATAAAAACCAAATAGAGCAGAATGAATGACAGATAAAATTAGCAGTGTACCAGTATCTCTCTCTCCTACAGTACCAGTTCAGCTACAACTTTCTCCAGCACACAAAGTATATATGAACTGTGTACAGGCTACGCAGCTGGAAGTTACGCAGCTGAGTCTGCAAACAGAACTGCTGGATTCAGAAATACACTGTTGGATTCAGAGCAACTAGCTTTCCATCACGCTGCTCCCTCAAGGGGATCATTACAGCAACACAAAGAGGAAGATCTACCTATAGATTTCATCCTCTCCCAGGTTGAGATGATGCATACAATGCCGCCATCCCTGAAAATTATTTTGTATTAAAATTATTTGGATACTGGCCTTGCAGCTCTTGATAACCACATGTAAAATGGACACAACATTACTAGCATGCAAGACAAGGCTTAATTAAAAAAACTAAAAACTGTCAACTTGGCAACAGGAAATTATAATATATAATATTATAATATATTACCTTCTGCGCTAGTGGGATACTGAGTTCTGTGCACATGCTATTTAGACTTTTTAGAATTCGTTTCTCCCAGCTTCCCTAAAACACACAGAAAAAATGAATTAAATGGAATTTCTTTGCCCTCCAATTGCATTTATCATGCAATAACAAGCAGCTTTTTAAAGTCATATATAAGAAAGGACACTGACACCTGCAAAAACGTTAAGGGAATATTTACATGCTTGTTTAAATGGAAACAATAGAGCAATCAGATTTCATCATTTACATGATAATGGAGAACCAGAAAAATGAATTGTTCGCATTTCAGATCTCCCAAGAGCATGTATTTCACAACTACTAATTTTTTAAATATGACTAATGATCAAACTTCCATATAAAAATTTTACTAATCTTTCAAACAATAATAAGCAGGGCAATCAACTGTGTACAGAGAATGCTACCCCCACTTGATGGCCTGAAGAAAGTGCAAGACTTTCTTCACAAAAAGTATCTTGGATCTTCTCAGAAGCTAAAACAGTTAGAAATTTAGTATTCTGCAACACTCAGAAAAAAAAATAGTTCTTCTAAAATAATGCTCAGGAAGTAGTTTGCTACCCAAAGAGTAAATCAGAAGCAGGCAATACCTCAGTAGCAAGTGGACAGTTTATAGAGCAATTGGATTCTTCTGATTATTGCATTAGACTTCAAACTTACCACATGGTGTTTAATTCATGGATAATTCCTCTGAAGTTAATGTCAACTAGTATTGACTTCCTTGTCAACTGAGCTAGTATTTTGCTTCTGTGATTAGAGCGGCACTGGTGAGTTTTATATTTAATTTAGTTCGTTGTGTATGATGAGTCAGGCCTCAATCATATGAACACAGAGACTCCTCTTAATGTCATTTAGCTCTATTTATTATTTGTAATTTGCTCTAGACACAAATTCTAAAACAGTTAGTTACTGTCTAACCACATGTTCCTCAAACTTAAAAGCTGTGTCCAAAAGAGGCTGCAGTTTATTAGACAGGAAGCAAATGAAGGGAAAGGCAGATGGACAAATGTTCTGCTAAAAAAAAAAAAATTATATCTTGTCTATAATTGTTTCATTTTAACTTCCATTTACCATATTCTCTCATGACTTTTTCCATCAAGTGTAGTAGCTTTTATTCACCAGAAATCTCTTCTCACAATCAAGTCATCTCGTCACCTTCACTTGCATAAACAAAGCAGATCTGAGTTTTAACTGCAAGGAATGTTTTCCAAATTGTAGTAATTTTTATAATACTTGACAGTATTTTCACTTAACTGTATTATTGTATTTAACTGCCTTCCATGTGCTGCAGTTATACACCTCATTATTCTCTCATGGAGGGGTGGTGGAGAGCATTTACAGTACTACTCTATTTTGCTAAGAAGTGTGGGTTTGTTGCTGGAAGAAACACAAAGTGAGAGAGCACAAACACTACTAAGCCATATAGGATAAGAAAATGGAAACAAAGAGAGAACACAGAGATGGTAGTGACAGTTTAAAAAGTAAAGGGAAATCGCCAAGACCAGTCATAGAATACCAGGTTGGAAGGGATCTCAAGGCCCAACCTTTCCCAGGAAATGCATTATCTAGACAAGATGGCCTACCACTCTGTCCAGCTGAATCTTAAACACGACCAATGTTGGGAAGTCCACCACTTCCCTGGAGAGATTGTTCCAATGGCTGACTGTTCTTGTGAAAAAAATTCCTCTTGTGTCTACTCAGAATCTCCTCAGAAGTAAATCATACCCATTACCCCTCATCTCTTCCTTGTTAAAAGGCAGTCTCGCTCTTCTTCAAATATTGGAACTTGGCGATAAGGTTTCCCCTCAGCCTTCTTTTCTCAAGCCCAGTTTTCTCAGCCTTTCCTCATATGGCAGCTTCCCAGTCCTCTGATCATCTTTGTGGCCCTTCTCTGGGCCCTCTCTAGCTTGTCCACATCTTTTTTGTATCGCAGGGACCAAAACTGAACACAGGATTCCAGGTGTGCCTGACAAGCACTGAGTAGAGTGGAACAATGACTTGTCTTTGCTGGTGACGTCTTTGTTGGCGCAACCCAGGGTCTCACTGGCTTTCTTTGCTGCTGCCGCACACTGTTCACTCATACTGATCTTGCTGTCCATCAGGACCCGCAAGTCCCTTTCCACAGAGCTGCTCTCCAGTTAGGTAGATTCCAGCCTGTGCTGCAGTCCTGGATTATGTTTTTCCAAGTGCAAGACTTTACACTTGTCTTTGCTGAATTTCATAAGGTTCTTGTTAGCCCACTCTTCCAGTTTATTCCAAGTCTTCAGAAAGGAGAGCCACCCTGCAGGAAGTGTCCACTTCCCCTCCCAGTTTGGTTATCTGTCCTGGTTTGAGCTAAACAGAACCAATTCTGTTCAGTGATTTTACCTTCCAGCTCAGTCTCCTCTGAGAGCCTGCATTTTCTGAAGTTAACAGCATGTTTTTGCAGACATTGTCTACTACTAGACCTGACAATACCTGATGGTTACAGTTACTGCCAGGGACGGGTATGCAGAAAGTCTCTTGCTTATACTTGTATCTCCCCAAAACTGCAGCCAGACCAAATACCTCAGAAAATACCAGGCACGTGAAATAACCTGAAGTTTTAAAGAAACATCCTTAATATCGTATCTTCCATTTTTCAGGGAGCACAAAAAAATAAATAAATCAACAAACAAAGAAAAACCCCAAGACTCAGTATTTCTCTGTTCAGGAAATTCCCAAAAAAGACAGATTAAAGCAGCTGTACCCAGTGATCTATCTTGACCCAAACACAGGACCCTGTCTCCAGCACACACAACTAGAAAATGCACATTATGTTACAACAATATTCAAAGATATGTAAATAGCAATGGCAGTAATTTTTCTACACTGGACAATACCACAACTACTCAAATTATTTACAGCATTACTATTCATTGCCATTAATCCTCTATCCTTTCCTAGAAATTCGTTTTTCTTTTGAGGTAGCAAAGAGAATATAGTATAAAAACTTTAATTTGCCACCTATGAATAAGAAAACAGAATTAATTTGAGGAGCAAACAGATTAATTATAAAAATTCTAATAACTACTGCAGAAAATTACTAATATAGGTTTAATTACTGATTCAAAATCATTCCAGTAACTGATATCAAAGTAAGATGGTTTTCAGAGAGTATTATCCTTCTTTCCAGAATTCTGAAGTAGAGTAAAATTAATTAAGATAGAAAAGGATAAAGAAAATGTCAGCAGGCTCATAACAATGGAAGCAGCATAATAAAAACAGAATATGACTTCTTATTACAGGGTTTGTCTGCCCAAGTCACTGTTACATGTGACAGAGCCCTGCTTTCCTGGAGATGGCCCAATATCTTGCCTGCCAGTGAGAAGCACTGAATAAATTCTCACTGTGTTTTGCCTGCACTGCAGTTTCTGCTCTACCTATTAAATTGTCTTTATCAGATGTTTTCTCACTTTTGCCCTTCCAGTTCTCTCCCTGTTTCCACTGGAGGGGGTAGTAAGCAAGCATCTGAGCTGCCTACCAGGGTTAACCCACCCCAGAGGATATGGATGCCTAATACTCTTGGAAATAGGACTATGAAATTCTGAAACTAGTGATGATAGGATTTCTCTTGCTCATTCCTAAACTATTAAAAAAACAGTCCTCAAAAATATTAGCTCAAAAATATTAGACAAATGTACACATAGATATACCTCTGTGGTTTTCACATTAGTAAACTGATAAGAGTGATTATTTACAGGCAGTAAAATGTGGCATTATATTTCACACCACAGAAGAAGAGTTGTTTAATATAATCTTTGTCCTCAAATGCTAAAGACTGAAATACAGGGCAGAAAGATAAGACTGGAACAAGCAACAATATGATTGAAAAAGTAACACAATTTCTTGAATACCTTGTAAAAAAATATTGTAACATATTTCTAGTCACAGTTGAGTTAAATATAATTTTATCCTTACCTCAGTTATTTTGGTCAGATCATATTCCTGAAGCATTTTTTTTACATTTCTATGTGGATTTCTCTATTTGTTTCAAATGGCATATACTGATGAAAACAATAAAGCAACGAAGCAAAAATATTTTCTTCCCTGACACCAAAAATACTTACTTAATCTTTTATAGCCCAGTTTATCCTATTCTCTTTCAAAATGCCTTAAGCTCCTTAGCTCTATACTTTTCATCTTCTTTCACATTTCTAAGTACTAAATATATCTCTTCCTTCTGAAGCTATCACTATCTCTGCAGCCTGTTGTTTTTCATTGCAATACTACCTGCCTGTGTCTCTTTCAAAACAATATTGCTGTAACCCTAAGTGAAATGACCTATAGTTATACTTTTTACTTCTTCCCAACAAAATCAAATTCTCCTCCTTGAAGTATTTCACACTGTCCCTATTCTACACTATTCACCTACTTGCCACGATATCCTACTTCTTTCATGGCTGGAGAATTATTTGAGTGGGTTTTGTACATATGTAAAAATGTCACACATACAACATCATTATTAACTTCGATGTAATTACAAATTCGTGTCTTCTCTAAGGTGTAAAACCTAGAAATTGTACCATATCATTATACAGAGTAAATCTCAAATAGTCTAATCAAATATCTGACACGAACAGCAAAAACAGCAACAACCAACCTGTGCTTTCCTCATATAACCTAACGGTTCCTTCATATGCTCAGGTGGTGCTGCAGGATGACAGGGTGCAGGAAACCTTAAGGAAAGTACAGAATATTTTAAATGTTCATATTTTTATTTTGCTTAATTAATTTTCTATTTGTAAGCCTAAACATAACTTCTTTCATGAGAGCACTAGTAAAACCACTGTGTATGTTGATCAAAACTAAACATTATTTTTAGAAGTATTTCCTCTTTATCCTTTCTATGGACACAAATAATACAAATATATGTAAGAACACCATTTCAACATGAGTTCTTCTTATATTAAAATTAATACTTCCTCAATGTCACAAATTTGTAAAATAAAAATCAAATAATTCTAGGAACGAATCAGGTATTTTAAAAGTCCTCTTCATATCACATCATTTTTATAACTTCCTGAAACTGTTATTATCCAGCATATCATATATTTTCAACAGACAACATATTTTTCAGAGGATTTCCTTTTAAAAACCAATAGTGAACATGTACATGACAAAAGCAAATTTAACTTGGTAGTGTTGACTTAAAGTCAAATATCCATTCATAAACTGTATTATGCCAAAATACAAAAGCTGGAACAAAAATTAAAAACCAATAAACACCCCAAACCAAAACAGTAATTTATCTTGCAGTAGTGCAGATAATTTCCAATCAGTTATTGCCAAACATTTTATTCTGCTTAACTTTAACTGTCTCACATGTCCTTCAGGAAACAAAATTTACGCAAAGCTTCTCTCATAGTTAGCCCAAATTTTCATTTGTTTAAATGTGTTCAATCAGATTCTACCATATAATTTTGGGAAACAGTCTCCAAATTTTTTCCCATTTTTAACTGGTAAGGTCATTTTTGTACTTGCAAGTAATTTGTTCTGGACAACTTTGTGCCAGTGTGCAAAACTGAACCAATACTAACAGATTTCAGCACTGCTGTTTCTTGGCTTTTCCACAATGGTCATGAAATTATGGTATTCTTAGCTAATTTCATTTTTCCAGTGCTAATTTCATGTATTTGCAGCTTATTTTCCTGAACTCAAAGACAGTTTAAGCATTAGTCCAAAAGACAGGCAAGCATTTTTTGCTTGAAACATAAGATGAAGACCTTACTAAGAGATACAAGTATTTTGCTGAATCAAGTCCTCCCCTGCTAAGACACACTGTTCAAATCTGCTTAACTCTAACAAGCTTATTTAATTTAGCATAAATAAGTTTTCATACACATTTCTTATTATATAGTTGCATCTATGGCTATATCTGCCATGAAATTAACTTTTCCACCTTGCTAGAATATAAAGGCAACCTATGCTTCCCAGAAGTCTGATCTAATCCAAAGTTCACTGAACAATAATAAAAAGAGAATTCCACAAATTTCAGTGTTTATAACCATATGCAAAGCATTACGAGCACCGATCTAGTAAGTCAAGATCCAATAGCTTGAAGTTTTTTTAAAATAATACAATAAACATATGCAATGCTGTCATAAGCATCTGAAAATAATTAAAATACATTTGCAGCAATCACCTAAGTTACACAATAATTTATGATGACTCTTGGTACCTTTGAAAGTAAAACAACAAAGAAATTCCTAAACTAACCAATAAATTTGGTGATACTTGTTTCATTAATTCTTTAAAATGTCCAGTATTTTCACTAGGATGAAAAAGAAATAATTGCACTTTAAAAACAGAAATTAAGCAGGTACCCTTGGTATGACAGATCTTGCAGATAACAGGAACACATCATACACCTATATATACAAATAGTTCAAAAGCAAATCATGTGAGCAGAACTTATTTAATAAAAATACTAAATAAACTCACACATTGAGTTCGCTATAAATGGCATTCTGCAGTTTCTTTTCCCAACCTGTTAAAATAAAAAAATATCCAGAAGACAACTTCAGGAATTAATACTAACAGAACATGAATCAGAGGTTGTTTTGCAGTCACTAAAGTTTTCTGTCCTGTCTCAATTCATGTCTACCTACCAGACAGGAAGAAACCAAGAAACCTTAATCTAATTAGACAGGAAAAACCGCGAGTTGAGATCTGTAGAAAGGTTGACTATCCCTTATTTCCATCTACTGTTCAAATAATTACAATACAACTGGCATCTTTAGATGCTATTTTTTTCAAAGCCATCATATTATTAAAATAAGTAAGAGATGCAGTGTTCCCGATTATTTTAAACCTTTTATCATTTATCAGATCTTCACATTACAGTTACATAAACTCCAACTTCTAATGGAAATTGGAAATTTAACTAATGGTAAAATCTTAAAAAGTACCTCCATGAATGCTAATTTCCATTTTCAGAAGCAACTGAACTCTTATACGACTCAAAACTTAAAAAAACATTACCAGTATCTTACAAAAAGATAAAATCTCTTTGTCGCATGGTACATTTTTCAAAATCCTGTCAGATTCCAAGAACTTTTTCCTTTTTAATTTTCTCTATCTCGTTTAATAATCTGGTATCACTGAATATCTGCTTCTGGCTACTGTCAGCAACAAGATACCAAGCTGCACAAACTATTTTTATCATGCATATCACATATGTTCTTAAGTAGATCTATACTATTCACAAATGCATCAACGAAGCACTACAAACCTGATGTCTTCAGAAAATCCTTAATGTCTTCTTTTAGTGATTCCAGTTTAATTTCTGGCTTGTGCAGGCTAACCTAATGTGGAAAATACATAAATAAGCATTAAGGAAACACTAAAAAGAAAGTAAATTGTGTATTTTAAGTTACACGATAAGAAACATAAATTTTTAAGGTTACACAGAAAGCTAACTGCTTCCTACTAACTTGACAGCGGTAACTGCAGCCAAAGAAACCAACTAACTTTGTCCTCACTTGATGGCTACGCTTTTATATCAGTGCTAAAAGATGTATTTGGGTAAGGAGAGAGAAAAAGAGAGACTATGCAGTGACATATATGCTTAACATTCTGAGTGAGTACCATACATATTTAGCACAAATGCTAGACTCTACACATTAAAGGATTGGTCATCAGGTACACAAGTAATTAACTAGAAGTCGCTCACTGCATTCTACACAAACGAATCAAACTGAAAATGTTCCACAACTTCTCACAGTTCACCTCTTTCAGATAAGAGATGCCATCTCCAAACTTCAAAGGAAAACTGCAGACCAAACTTTTCCCCACTACAGCTCTGACTACTGGGCATATAGAGCCTCTCTAATGAAATGCACTCGACAGACAATTAGGCACCAACCAGCTTTACAACACCACCATGACACTACCATGCAGATTTTTCAGCAACGGCAGCAGCAGCTGCTGTAGAATCTCCTTTTTCTCCGGCTAGCCCAAGAGGAGAAAACAAATAGGCCACAAAACTCCAAAAATACAACCACCAGAAACTCTCAAGTTTCTGTGAAGTAACAGTTTTAGAAAAGAATAGCAGCCCCGGCTCCTAACTTGAAACTAACCTGGGGAGATCTGTGTGCAACTTAACTCCACAGCCATGACAGCTCAAGGCATACGTTAGGTCACGTCACCTACCTCAACATGTGAGATATCTCTTATGAAAAGCCACTCAGTAATACGCTGTAGGCATATCAGCTGCTGATTCTATTGCAGTTAGATATATTGCTACGAAAAATAAACTTCCACCAGCTTGTGCAGTTTGCCAGCCCTAACAGCACTGCTCACAGCACAGCATCTTCCCATTTTCCCCCTAATGGAAAGGAGGAACAGTCAATAATGCTGAGACTGATAGCATCAGCATTTCTGTTCTTATTTTAAATCATTTGGCCATTACAGGTAAGGAAGGCTTTTGTATCTGGTTTGTCACCTGCAACAGCAAAACAACCATACACATGCTTTCTGAGAGAGAAAAGTGATCCTAAGGACAAACTCTACATATAAGGTGTGGCGAGTCGTACCACTCTCATGTTAAATGACAAATACATACTCCATTGAGCACAGCAGTAAAAACTGGCAAAGGATCATCCCTGAAAGCAAGGAAAAAAAGCTTTTCATGGACGTTCTCGGGCAGCTCACAAAATACCTGTTTAAGCAACAGCCTCACGGAGTATTTTATGAAGGATTCATTCTGAATTCATTTTGATGAAAAGTTCTATGTCCCTTTTGGACTGATGTATGTCAGGCTGAATTTAATTTTTGCTTCTGCTAGTTTTGTACCTCTCCTGTATAAATTTTACATCAAGTAACATGCATCAAACTGGGCAGACTGCACCTTACTGTTCCTCAGACATTTTAATGTAGGCTTTTGTAAATTTTAATCCCAAGGTAAAAAGTGTGTTTACATGTGGGCCCTAGTACATATGCTTCAAAATCCTTTTCACACATGCAAAAAAATCCTCACAAATACAAATCCTTGACAGATGTTTAATCACAACCAAAAAAAAAGCTTTACAATCTACTAAAAAGGTTCATTGTCTCGACACTATAAACAGTGCAAGAAGAAACAAAACTGCAATGAGGAGAATAGTATTTTAATTCTCTGCTGTTCACACATCTGCAAAATTTGTGAGGTCTTCGCTCGTTAAGGAAGGCCTGACATATGGACAAACCTTTTTATTTTTTTTGTGGCCTCTTGGTTTCGGCTGGGATAGAGTCTATTTTCTTTCTAGTGGCTGGTGCAGTGCTGCATTTCGGATTTAGCACGAGAACGATGTTGGTAACACGCTGATGTTTAGTTGTTGATAAGTAGTGCTTATCTTAAGAACTTTTCAGTTTCCCATGCTCTGCCAGGGAGCAGATGCACAAGGAGCTGGGAGGGAACAGAGCCAGGAGAGCTGACTTAAAGTAGCCAAAGGGATGTTCCATAGCACCTACTATATAAACCGGGGGGAGCCGACTGGGATGGGCCGATCGCTGCTCAGGGACTGGCTGGACATCGGTCAGCAGGGATTGAGGAACTGCATTGTGCATCACTTGTCTGCCCTTGGGTTTATTTTATTTTTATTTCAATTCTTTAACTGTTTTACTTGGTTTTTATTCTCCTCCCCATCCCCCACTATGTGGGGGGAAGGGGGGCAGGGAAGAGCGAGTGAGCAGCTGTGTGGTGCTCAGTTGCTGGCTATAGTTAAACCACGACACCAGGAAATTCTGGAAATTGATACAGCATACTACATCAGAGGGGATAAAGGAGTTCAGTCCACACAGATAAACTTTACATTTTCCCTGTCAGGTCAACAGGTACAACAGAGGACTTTGCCGTAAACTGCTGTTCCCAACAGAGCCTGTTTCACAGCTGCAGAACAAAGAAACAGCGACTCTTCCACGTGTGGCAGGGTGGCAGTCGAAAACGAGCAGGACAGCACTTTGGGGCAAGCCTGCTCCAAGGATTATATTAGTGCATCAACCTCCTTCAGCTCTTCAGGCCTATTTATACAGTCAAGTTCTCCTTCACTACTCCTAGCACTGCTGCACCTGCAGAAAATATTGCTATGCTAATCTTTCACTTATGGAAACTTCCATTTTTAGCCTCTGCGTCCTTTTCCTTCTCTCAACAGCAAAACGACATATTGAGATTAATTTTCATTTAAGAGACATGAAAATTCCCCTCCAAATTACAGGGACACTTCTTTCCAAAAAGGATGCAATTGCCAAAGCCTCCTCCCATTTTCACTTTTCCCTGTTTACTTCTGGACTATGATGGATGTATCCCGACAGGGCTAAGCAGAGCTACAGTGCCGATCAGTTTTCAGATCAGAAATTAGATACCTGAAAGGGAAGAATCTGGCAGGCAATCCAGCTGCATTCAGTTGTGACCCAGAAGAACACACCCTAGCTCTGTATAACATCGCCAAAGAAAAAAATACTTATTTCATTAGCTAAAAGAAAATCACTTCAGAATTGCTTTGCTGTAACTTAACAGAATGGCACCTCTTTGGAATTTGTATGGGTGTTTATGGGAACTAAACCAAGGAGTCAAGGAGAATTACCAGAACCCACATTCCAAAATTATTAGACCAGGTCTCCCACATACTTTTATTTTTCCTTTGGACTAACTGATTTAACTTTCTGTGTTGTACTTTGTTGCAAAAGACATTTAGGTGTTTACATTTTAGGTAGGGTTTGTTTGTTGTAAACTGCTTGGTACAACATAGTGCCCAAGTCTCATTTTTATTTTCATCCCTTATGAATGAAAAATATGTTGATAAAATGTTATTTATAGAAAAAAGCATTACTATGATTTACGCTGATAAAATTGCCTAGCCAAGGTTTATTTGGAAAAAAAACAAACCTTGATGAGATTTGTACTGATGAACTAATTTCCTCCATGATCAAAATGCAGCATACACCCAGGCAGAACTAGAGGCACTCCCACTGCAATACACACATCTTGATGAAAGAGTACCTTCCTTTTTTTTAAAAAAAAATAAATAAAGTGTTCGGTACTCTAAGGAGGCTATCCTTTACACTAAGCAGTGTAAAGGAGACTGAGCAATATAAGGGAACAACTCGTGAAGGCAAAAAGCAACACCCAGGCCAGGGAAGAAGCCACACTATTCAAAGGCTCAGTCAGGCCAACATAAGAGTCCTGAAAGGAAACAGGAATGAAAGTAGCATATTTGAGCAAGCAGTAACAAATGATTTTTAAATAAAAGTTAATGTCTGGCAGTTTCTTTTCCCATATAAGTGGTATTGTGCATATTCTTCTGGATAAGGCACTGGGATTCAGGCACTGGGCACCCATGTGCATCTACAGCCTTGGTCAGTTTCTCACAAATCAAGAAGCAAGTGGCTGCTTGACATTCCTTCATCAAACAAGCTGTCACCACAGCATTTCATGGCAGCCTCTTGTCCTTCAGCTGTGCAGATGAGAAAGGATAATTTTGGGACTTTCAAAATTTGTCAAACATTTTGAACGGTATCCTTTGTGTACGTCCTTTCCCTTGGATTTTGGCAAGGTATCTTGTTGAGGTCTGGGCAGTCACCATTTAAGCGATTCTCAAAATGTACTGTAGTTTCTGTACTCAGATGCCAAAATGGATAAAAATCCAGACACTCAACACTGATCTGTCCGAAAGCATGCAAAATGATAGCAGAGTACTAGGTGGAAAAAGTTAGTGGGTGTAGTAAATCGATTAAGAGAACAACTGAACACAGAAAAAAAAAATTAAAAAAAATCTATTTGCCAATGAGCATCTAAATTTGGAAATGGCATTCAGTCATCACGACTGGAGCAGGACTGATCATGCAAGAAGGCAGATGAGCCATCCAGGCACCGCACTCTAAGTACAGGAAAACAGCTAGAGGACCAGCAGCACACTACAAAGAGGAGGCTTGACAGAACAAAGTGTTCCAGCACAGCTCCTGTGGTAAACTATTTCTTTTCTCAACAAGAATAAACACTGCAGAGAAGTGACCCAACTACACTGAAATGTGGAACTGCATCAGGTGAACACATAGTTTTATCCTGCTACAAACAGTTCTGCAAATAACTTTACACAATCTAAATATTTTTACAAGCTATCTACCATAATGTCCCTTCAAAGCTTTTTTGGTTTAGATAAGTATGTACACTCTCAGAGTGTTTGTTACTGTTCGTTACGATTTTGCATAAGTGCACAAATGTTTTTAGCTTTTATTGCTATTATTTCCCAAATTACAATAAAGTACACTACTCTAAATATAGCCCACCTTTAGCAGAAGTAAATTCAATGAAAGCTAATAAATATTTACATTCTCTCCCATATTCCACTCTGCCATAACCAGATTTTATCAGGATCAAGTAAACTTGTTAAAAACCACTTCAAGTACGACCACAACAATTTCAAAATAAACACTCCCTAAACACTTAAAATCCTACATATTTAAGGCAGTGATTTAGGTTTATACATTCCTGTACCACAAAGAGGAATCATTCTGAGCACAGTTAAACAAATTTCATTAAGTGTAAAACCCCGATAACACTGACAATTTTCCAAGCCTTCTACATTTCTACAGTCATTACACTAAAGGAGAAAGTACCATAAACTTTTTATAAAAGTAGAAATAACCTAGCAGTTGAAACAGAGAGCTTCAATTAGCCTCATACAAGTATAAACAGCGTCAAACGTTATGTTCTCCATGATATGCAGCACACATTTTAATAACACAATATTGATGTTTTAATACATTTTCTAGGTTTTATTTGAACATAAAATGACTGCTGCAAGTAAAACACAGACAAAGTAAAACATACAATCTATGCTACTAAAGAAAAAAATAATCTGCAAATCAAGTTTGCATTGCTTCCAACATCCATAATCTGTTCAATATATACACAACTGCATACAATTTAAAATTTGCTGTACTGCAAATATTACTGCTGAAACATTTAAACCAAAGCACAAGCTCTATCAGGGATAGTTAAATACAACATATGAAAATCAATCATTAATTATCTGTGATGACTCTTGAGCCTATGTTTATTTGCTAAGTTTTATTAAATAAATGCTACACTTCACAGAAACATTCTCCTTAATTTGATCTTTTACTTAAGTAGGGTTTAGTATCAATTTCTTAACTGTTGGAGAAAAATGTCATGAAGATAATATCCTTGGGTACCATTGCAAACCACTCACTCCACAGAAATTATTCCAAGATGTTTACCCGTACTCCTTTTGGAAGCACACAGCTGGGCAAGGCCCCAGCTGCAACGCTGCGAGCACTTCCAGGGCACACTCCTCTCCCTCCTTGTCCCACGTGAAGTCTTGTGAAGACTTTTACCTCTCACTGTGATTTTTTCTTTAAACCTTTCCAGTACCAGTCACAGGTCTGCTGAAAGAGCGAGGGCAGAGTCCTGTCCTCTGGACAATCGTGCTGATCACAACACATCCTAGCACGTCTCCTCTCCACACCTTGTTAATACCTTCAGCTACCTCCCAAAATCTTCTCTCACTCCCACACTTATTTGTAAGACTGGGGTGGGATGGGGTGTCAGGGCTGATTATTATGCTCATTTTACCACTTTTAGCCCGCTTTCACAGCCATTATTCTGTTCTTCTACAAGTTCTTCTTCAAGCTGTCTCATTACAGACACATCTGTAAGAACACTCACACAGAAAATGCTCAGAGGGATTCCTTGTATTATGAGTCTAAAATTTAAAACATAATTTAGAATCTTTATCTTTCATTTTATTTGCACCTCCTGTTAGAAAAGTTCTTAAGAACAAACTACTGAGGCTTTTGTTTATTGTTGGGGTTATTTTGTTTTTTTGTTGTTGTTGTTTTTGTTTTGTTGGTTGTTTGGTTTTGTTTTAAAAACTTCATTATCTGCCCCTGGCTACTAGAGGTTCCTGGCAACTCAGGGTCAGTCTAGTTCTTTTAAAGGTTTGTAAGGGACAAAAATAAATATTGATTAATCCTAATTGATTCATAAGGCCTGGCTTCCTTCAAACATGATGAAAGCCAGTTTCTGAACTGTCTGCAAATGAAAATGTGTTGAAAGGTAGCTGTTTTTCAATGTCTTTGACCTGCTCAATTTTTATTGTCAGTTTATTAAGAAAGATCTTCCCTAAAACAAAATGTTAGCAAGATTTCAGAAAAAAAATTTTGGTTTTAAACTACATTTTATGATTGAAGACGTCTGTGTCTCAGTTTTTCTAACTTTTATCATAAAAGCATTTCCATTTCAGAAAAGGAAAAGAAAAATGAAAACAAAAGCAGACAAACTGGGCTACAAAGACAGTGAAAGCTGTGTCTGAGAAATCAAGATCAGATTTCTCCTCTGATATCCCAATAACCCCAGCAGCAATTCTACCTGTTGAAAAGCTACTATCTAGTATTTTGCCTCTTCATAGCTGTTACTGTTTCCTTTCAAACATGCTACAAAATATGCTCAGAAGAAATTTCAAAGCAAAAGTAGGCACATTTACGCTCTTTCCTGCATCAATCTCTTTGCACTAACTTGGGCACATTATCAACACACCAAAAATCAACCCAACCCATTTTCCAAATCATCACTAACAAGCCTATGACCCTACCTCTACTTGGGCCCTCAGGACAAAAATGTGATAATCTCAGTATCCCCAGAGCTAAAGCTGTGACAGCAAATAATTTGGTGCCCACGCCAAATTTCAAAGAGATTGTGTATCACAGGTCCTGACACTAGCTCAGGCTCTCAGTGACAGCCAAGCATAGCACTGTGCCATCAGTTTATAACCACAGGGCTACTCCATCACCTCTCACAAATAATAACCGAATATTGTGTTTTCCCCAAAAATTCTGTCAGCTCATGAAAGAAACTGCTCATTTTGAGCTCTCCTTCCTAAACATTAGAAGAGACGTATTTTACAAAACATAGTTCTTGTCAATAGTTAAAATACTGTTTGTGAGAATACATTTCAGTGATTAAAGTGGACCTTATGATCCATTCTTACTCTCGTCTTCTCAGAGCGAGTAAATATCTTGGGGAAATGAGTATCGGCAACAACATTTTCTGCACTGGCAGACAAGAGGAATCTTTGCAAAGGTAAAATTAACAGTAGTGTAAATATCCAAAACAATAAAGTTTTATTCTGATGCACTGCCTCCAAAGATTTCTCAAAATACAGTATGCATCCCCTTAAAAAGTTTAAAAAATTGCCAAAAAAGGGGCCACCTGTAGATCAACACTGCAACTGGTGCAGACTAAGCACTGTTCAGAAACTGATCATTGACCAGAAGACAAGAAAACCCCATTCTGTCCTGTCAGTACACTGGAGCTCAGGTGTGATCCATAGCAAGAGCAAGGATTTCACATTTAATAACAGAACTTCAGAAATATCCCATATCATCGAAGGAAAATCAAGCATTAATTTAATGCAGAGAGTAGCAAAATCCAGAAACCTTCGAAATTGTGTACAGCTGCTAAGGATCAGAGAAAGGAACTCACTGATAGGGGCCTTTGCAACTGCATAGTATAGCAACAGCATGGCTATACAAGCATTACAAATAAAACGAGTCTATGCTGTCCACAAAGGAAGGTAAATGCATGCAAGGTCAATAAAAACAATTCAAGGTCAAGGATAACATACAGATTCACGACAAACAGGGTGTATACTTGGCCCTATACATTTAAACCACAAGCTCCAAAAGATGACTCTTTACAGAAATCCTCTAGCTGATGTATCTAAAAATCTTCCAGTCTTTCAGATCATTACACAGAACTACAGCAGATTTAATCTTATATTACAAAATCTTCAAGCACTTACTCTAAGAATCAACCTGAAAAACTGTTCCCCTGCTTTATTTTCTTTCTGCTTAGCACCTCATATGACTAGAATAATCTTCTGACCTATATATAACACACTTTTTTTTCTTCTCCAAGAAATCTGTACAACAGTGGTCTGCAATGCTATTGTGACAGATTTGTCTGTGGCCATTACACTGTGTTTTATTTATTTTACAGGTTACCTTTATTCTTTGATTACACAGTTTCTGCTTGCACTGAGTAAACTGATATGCTATAGAGCCAGGGAGGGATTTAGGCATTTAGCTGCTCTTCTGGCCATTAAACACCACCACAGAAGGGCACTCCTAAAGTCCTCGGAGCGTACACCGGTAAAAAATGTCTGTACCAACAGCATTTAAACACCCCACCAAGTATTGGCAACACCAAGCTTCCTCTTGTTTCAAAACAAAGATGCAAAGTATCAAATTACTGTGAAAAAATCAGGCCTCATGGGAGATGGAGGCAAAAGAATGAATTTAGAGGTGAGTACATACAGGTTTTATTACAATCATTAATGGAGTTGTTATAAGAGTCCTATTCACTCATCGCTTTTATGAGGACAAGGCCTTGAACTTGACTCTCCACACCTCAAATCAGGGTCTCTATTTGGGATGCTGAATTCCTTGACACTTAGCATAACTCAACATCTACTCTTTCCTAACTACAGTTCAAGTCATGCACATCTGTTTACTCCTGTATTTAGAGAGCAGTCCGTGAACAGGTACAAAGCAGACATAAATTTTAAAAAGCACTTAAGAGACCAAACTAGCAAATTTAAAAACCAAATAAAAAAAGGCATATCACTGGCTATGGAAAGCTTTAGGGCCATTCAGCAAAGGAAATCATACTTCATTTAAAAACCCAGCAACACTAAGGCAGATAATGGACATTCTATCCTAAAAAAAACCAACAAAACCAAACCAAATCAAACCAAACAAAAAAACCCTGTCCAAATTTAAGTACTATTTGAAAAAAAAATATAACCCCCCCCATGATTTTATAAAACCCATACCGAAATATTTCAGCGATGTGCAATAATTGTAGTAACACCATTACTATGTTACTACGGTCATGAAAATTGACACAGTTTTAATCTGAAATATCCTACATGAAGTTCCGTTTAGATACGAAAATCTGCTTTCAAGAGTAATTACATTATTAAATACACAACAGCAACTCTTTTCACAGCTAGAAAAATGTATTTTCGTGTGTGTTTTTAATTTATTTTCGCTTCCTTTCACCAGTTCCTCATGTTCTCGGGAGGCACTCTGGAGGATGGGAGGGGGGGAGTATTTCAAGCTCTCCAAATTACGAGATTAAAAGGCAAAGCGATTCATTTTAAGGAACGATTTGAAAGCAGCGAGATTGCAAGCGGACAGCCTTCATAGCCACTGCGAAATCCTTCAGTCCCAAGGGGGGAAACTATAAATACAGCCCTAGAAACCAACCAGACCGCTCTCTAGCCCAGCCGACAGAGGGAAGGAGGGAGGGAAG